GACTCTTTCATACAGTGCCTCATGTTCTGGTGACCCCAACCATACAATTATTCCATTGCTACTTCCCAACTGTAATTTTGCTACTGTTATGCATCGGGCGACCCTGTGAAAGGGTTGTTTGACCCCCAAAGGGGTCACAACCCACAGATTCATAACTGCTGAACTAAGTGAAAGGGATGGGTGAAATGGGTGATAAGGTGTAAAGGGTTATGAACATTTAAACACACACACACACACACACACACACACACACACCAGAACATCTGATATCAACCCGTCTTAAATAATTTAACATGCGGCTAACAAAGTCGTGCCAGGAGCTACATACAGAAACTGGTCTAACATTATCATCACGCTCTTTAATATTAGTTGCATGATAATCTGATAACGCTGTGTCTCCATGGAAAAAGCAATCACTGGAAAAGGCAGCACCTCACTATTGACCTGCCCACCTCATTGAAAACAGCACTACCATCTAAAAGAGTGATTTCTTTTTCCAAGCGATTATTAGATTGGATATCTTATAAACAAAGTGCATGCTTGAATCTAACCTACCCAGCTTCAGGGGCAGAATCTTACAGAAGGAAGGAAACTGTAGTACCTGCTATAGTAGAAGGATCGTTTTCATCTGGGTGTTAGGCAGCCAATCTCTTTTCAAAATTATTTTTCCCTGGCGTTCTCCATTGTGTCCTGTGGAGGGGGTGTACCCTACCCTCTCCCCACAGGAGTGGGAAATTATTGCTTAAGAAAGTCTGCTTACGCACTGTAAATACTTGGCCAATCTTTTCCTCATGAAAACATAATCACAATTAGATGGGACCTAAATGCTTGAGTTAAATTGGAGATTTGGCAATTATTAATGGTTCTGGATTACAGTATTCATATATGACAACTTCTCTTTGTCTAATTTGTTTGATTTGAGCTATCCAAAACTTTGTGCCTCAGAGAACTTGACCTTAAAGTTTCACCCATCTGGGCTTTGGAAACATACCCGTTTGCATAAGGCTCTGCAGAAGAAATCAAGTCCTTGATTACACTTTACTTCTATTTGTCACCGAGCATTTTGGGGACTGCTGCACGCTAAATCTGAGTTGGCACATTATTAACCTTTTCAAATTAGTCATTTAGTAGGCTCAGCTGAATATTTTCTTAATTTGCACATTAAGGTTTTCCAGAACAGCTGGTGCAGAGTATTAGTTGAGACCTTTGATTTACATAGTCTAAATACACACATATATTCTACTTTGGGAGAGTAGGACCTAATCCTTGCAGAGTAGGGTCAACTCCTGATAAGAATAAAATAAAAACAATAGCGAACATTTTCTGAATACTTTGGATGCCCCCAAGCACTATTCTAAAACCCTTACCATGAAGACTTTGAACAACCTTATGAGGCTATTAGCCCTCCCATTTTGAATAAGAAATTGAATAAGACAATTAAGAATACAATAAGAAAATGAAGAGTGGTGAAATTACTTGGCTGAAACTTGAGGGTGATTCACAGATAGGAAAGCGTAGATGGTCTAGCTGGAGAGCCTCTGGGTGCCACAGTGCAGCAAAGCTCCCATCTCCGCAGGTCAGGTTTCCTGGGGAGGAGGGTAACACTGGACCCTCACCCCACCATCTTAAAAGAAGCCCAGTGGCCTGTTGGGCTGCTAACCCCCAAGTCAGCCATTCAGAACCCTCAGCCTCTCAGTGGAAGAGGAGGCTGGCTACACTGGTGAAGAGCTACCGTCTCAGAAACCCACAGACACCATGTGAGTCAGAATCCACTCCATGCCAGGGAGCTTGGGTTTCGGTGGTTACGCATTGTGGGCTGCGAACCTCCACGTCAGCAGTTTGAAACCATCAGCCACACTGAGGAAGAGGAGGCTTTCTGTTTAGTAAAGATTTACAGTCGCAGAAACCCACAGGTTTACCCAAAGGTCTACCCAGTCCTCTACGGTCATATGGGTCAGAATTGGCTGGATGGCAGTGAGGTTAGTATTTTGGTCAAAGCTTAAGGGTTTTAAAGAAACTGGCTTTTGAAATTTGGGAGCTTTCTATCACAATCAACTTTGAGAGAATTGTACATGGTTGAAGATTTTATTCTTCCTTGATTCCTAAATACAAGAGAATCCATTAGGCTAAGCTGCTAGCAATGCACAATGATCCCTAGTGGCCATTATACAAACTGGAGGGAAATGCGAGGTATATCTTGAGAGAATTTAAGATAAAAAAGGGTCCCCTAACCTTCTTCCTGGGAACCCTGGTGGTGCAGCAGATTAAGCCTGAGTCTGCTGAGAGGCTGGCAGTTTGAACTCACCATCACTGCAAGGGAGGCAGCAGGGGACACTGCTCCCTGAAAGGTTTATAGCTGGAGGATGGATCCTATGGGGGCAGGGCTAGCCAGTCCTTCACTCTGAGTCCCCGTGGACTCTCTGGCAGTGGGTTTAATTTTTTTGTTAAAGCTTAAGGGTTTAAAAAAATTTTCCCTGAAGCCCCTAAGACTGTGGGGGTGGGGGCGGTGGGACAGAGGGTAGAAGAAACAGAAGGGCGCTAGCCTCTGGAGCTGAGGAGAAACGGTGGAAACATGAAAACACTCTGGAGTGCAGAGGAGCTCGTGCTTCCTAAGGACCAACACTTCCACTCGGTTCCGTAGGGTCCATATGACTCCATGGCAGATGGCACATCTTATAAATGTACTGCAAGTAAGTCTAACGACAACGGACCCGTACAGTCGCCTATAGAGGGCCTGAAGTGAGGAGAAAACTTCCATTAGCATTGTCCTCTTCCTCCGACAGGAAGTAACAGAACCAAGCAGTTTGTCCTTTGTGCTCTTCAGAGCTCCAGACCTTGGGGGTCTGGTCCCAATGCACCTGTGTGTATGCTGGGGGGGGG